TTTCCCTCATCTCTGTCTCCGTTCTTAATCTTTTGTCTCTCTCTAAACTGATATTAAGGGTCTCTCAGATGGGCACAAAACATAATTATGCAGATATTTTCAATTTGAAAAAAGATTTGTTCCTTTCGCAGAATAAATCTCCAAAACTGCCGTTTTGATAACTGTGTACTGGCGAGTAGTGTTGAACATGCTTAAGTGGGCTACGCTGGGTATCTCCGTGAGCGGAGGACCTGCGACACTAAAATAAAGACAAATTAAAATTCCGCTCAAGTAGAGGTGTACGGGATTTACCTCCCGTTTACATAATGGCTTTAGGTTGAAGAGTCAAGGAAGAAAAACTTATATGCGATCTAAAACTCTTCTGGGGGGCCTCTGCACGAACATGTGGTGAAACAATCACCTTTGGGAAATTTCGTTTTGATTAATTTTATTCTTTCATTTTTCAGCCTCATCACTATTGCGTAGAAAATCTTGGCTGCTATCAAGAAATTTATGAACATTTTCAGGACTTTCTCCAAGGTTATTATGATCAAATGGTCTCTATAGGTTTTTTTCTCCAATTTTTATTTTAATTAGTTCAGAAAATGAGATTCCCTAGTCAAATCAGGATACATGAGGAAAATGCTAATATCCCAGAAAAAAACCCGTACATTTCAGTAACATGTTCATTGAGTCACACAACAGCTTGGATATAATTCACGAAGATCTAAATAATGAACATGAAGTGAAAGTAAACATATTTCCTAAGGTCTGCCTAGAGTTCATAAAGTTGAGGTCAAGTAAACTGGTAACTTCCAAAATAAAACTGAAAATGAAAGAGTAAATCACAAAACATTGGTAATTGTCGAATGATTACATTTATCTTCACTCTCGGTAAACAAATAACTGAACAGTGATAAATGGTAGATTCTAAGCCCCATAAATTCATTATTAAAGAAACACAGAACAGTTAAAGCCCGCAACCATCAATGATTACCTGAAAGGCCTGCGTGGGTTACGACTAAAGAGAAACAATATTGCACATCGAAACCCAAT